TGTGGTCCCATTAACATGAACAACGGGGAGTTAACTATTCAGTAACAAGTAGACAAACATGAAATAAAAGAGAAAAGCTAATTTTTTGTAATGTAAAACTAAACATATTTCATTTCTTATAAATGCATATGTCTTTCTAGAGGAGCTTACTCCTCTCTCACCTTAACATGCAAAATATATATAGTTGCTATTCAGTGAAAACTCTAAAATATTCTTTAGTTACTTGTTAAACTAAGCTTATACAAATTAGAGAAAATGATATTGAAATGATATATGAAGTAAGATTTAGACAGCTTAAGCCAGTAAGAATTATATGCACCTATCATTTTTGTCCTAGTTTAGAAAAAGATCAGACAACTTTTGCAATGTTGATCCCTTCTCCATCTCTTCTAGAAAACTCTTTAAGAAAATCTACATTGTCTACTACATATTATTTTTGTGTAAGTGATCTTTGTTATGGGGGAAGGAGGTGTGAATTTAATATCTGGATCAATGTGGCACAGTATAGAGATAGCACTGGAGGATGCACGAGCCCCAGTGCAGAGAGGACCACAAAAGATTAAATCCCTGGAAGTCTAGGTAATAGAACCACAGGCTGAAGTCAAGACTATCTCCACCTCCAATGGACAGGGATCCCAGCTACCCATGGTAATACAGAGTTTGGAATTACTAATTTTCAACCAATTTCTCATATGTAATTTTTTACCACTTTTCTACCTTGGTTGTCTATATTTCCTGAGTCGACCCCCTTGCTCGCTGTTTGCTGAGTAGATTGAGACAAGGAGGCTTCCATCATCTGTTAGCCTCCCCTCCCTGGAATGTGGAGATCTTAGGTAGCCAGGAGCAGGGAATTAGAGCACAGAGGAACAGTATGGAACGTGCCAAGTAGACTGAGGTAAAAGGGAACTAAAATCTCAGACTTGAACGAAGAGACCCATAGAAGAAGGCACTCTTATTATACCAGCTCCAAGGGAACAAGTAAAGAAAAAGACACAGGTGGGAAAGAAAGATTATGGGCCAAGAGCAGAGGCTGTAGGTAGGTAACCTGAATGACAGCAGAAGAGGGAGTCTGCCCCAGAGCCTACAGGCCCCCATGGGTTATCCGCCCAGAGCACTGGGCTACTTGGGGAAGTGGAGAAATGAAGAGCAGAAATAGTTTATTTTTATTCTGCTCTCATCCTTTCATTAAGCATCTCCAAATTCCTGGTCTTTGCAAGAATTTCTAAGTTTGCTTTAATGCTTTATAAGGTTAAAAACTTATAGTTTACTGGATTTGATTTTTATGCTTTATTTTGCATCAGATTTTTTCCTTGTCCCAGGGATTAATGGTGTGCTGAGACCAGAGGACTCAAACGAATGGTGACAGCGTCAAATCCTATGAGAACTAGTAGTTCTGACAATTTCAAAATATACTTTGCTATTTTACTTATGTTTAAATATAATTTCTTAAGAATGCCCTATTCTTTACCACACTGCCAAATATCTAAAATTCTACGGTCTGCTTCATGAGAAGCTAGGAGGTTCCCCCTCCTTCAGAAAAGGGGCGGACAGCTCAGAAGGGAGAATACTCCTTCCTGTCTTCCATGCTTGTCAGAGGAAGTACCTAGGCACACACCCAACATGTCAGAGCAAAGATGCCTCGCATTAAAATGACTGGCTCACAACTACCATGAAATGAATGTAAGTGATGTTATTCCACACTTTAACAAAATAGCCTTTCCTTCCAGCTGCTTTCAAGCTGAAAGGAACAAAGATACTGTTTATATGAAAGATAGAGTAAAAGTGCATTTGAAAGTACCTCAAATTTCCACAAATTCACTTATACTGTGGATTAAATGGCACCTCAAATATACCTACACTTATATATAGTTATAAGTATATATTTGAATATATAAACTTTATATGTACATTTGAGTTCATAAACTTCTCACTATAAAATAGAAATTATCCAAATTGAGTAAAAGGAATCCACATTTCTTTTTTTTTAAAGAGCCTTCCCTTAACACTCAATTTTTTCATTCTTAAATATTGTATTGTTTATGATTAGTTATCCCAAATTTTCCCTCTTTGCCCCCTCCGCCCAGCCTGCCCCCACTCCCATAGTCAATCCCACATTGTTGTCCATGTCATTGAGTCATTCACATATGTTCTTTGACTAATCCCTTCAACTTCTTTCAACCAATCTCCACCTCCCCTCTTCCTTCTTACAGCTGCTGTCAGCCTATTTCAATTTTCTATGCCTCTGGTTCTATTTTGTCCATTAGTTTATTTTGTTCATTAGATTTCACTTACAAGTGAGATTATATGGTATTTGTTTTTCACCCAACTGACTTATTTCGTTTAGCATAATGCTCTCAAGGTCCATTCATGCTGTTGCAAAAGGTAAGAACTCCTTCTTTTTTACTGCTGCACAGTATTCCATGATGTAAATTTTCCACTGTTTTTTTATCCACTTCCCTACTGATGGGCACTTAGGCTGTTTCCAAATCTTGGCCATTGTAAATTGTGCTGCTGTGAACATAGGGGTGCATATATTCCTCTGGATTTGTGTTTCAGGATTCTTAGGATATATTCCCAGCAGTGGAATTGTTGAGTCAAAAGACAATTCCATTTTTAATTTTTTTAGGAAACTCCATACTGTTTTCCACAGTGGCTACACCAATCTTCATTCCTACCAACAGTGCACTAGGGTTCCCTTCTCTCCACATTCTCACCAGCACTCCTAGTTTGTTGACTTATTGATAGCCATTTTGGCAGGTGTGAGGTGTTATCTCATTGCGGTTTTAATTTGCAATGCTCTGATGGCTAGTGATAGTGAACATTTTTGCATATGTCTCTGGGCCATCTGTATGTCCTCCTTGGAGAAGTGTCTATTCTGGTCCTTTGCCCATTTTTTTGATTGGATTGTTTGTCTTCCTGGTGTTGTTATATAAATTTTTATATATTTTTGAGATTAAACCCTTGTCTGATGTATCAATGACAATGGTTCCCATTTTCATTTTGATGATGGTTTCCTGACCTGTGCTGAAACTCTTTAATTTGATGTAGCCCCATTTGTTAATTTATTCCTTTGTTTTCCTTGCCCGAGGAGGTATATTGGCAAAAATATTGCTATATGAGATAACTGAAATTTTACTGCCTATGTTTTTCCTCTAGGATTTTTATTGTATTATGGCTTATATTTAAGCCTTTCATCTATTTTGAGTTTATTCTGGTGTACAGTATAAGCTGGTGGTCTAGTTTCACTTTTTTTGCAAGTACTAGTCCAGTTCTCCCAACACCATTTACTGAAGAGGCTATCATTACTCCATTGTATGCTCTTGCCTCCTTTGTCATATATCAATTAACCAGAAAGATGCGGGTTTATTTCTGGACTCTATTCTGTTCCATTGATCTATGTGTCTGTTCTTATGCCAGTACCATACTATTTTGATTACAGTGGCCTTATAGTATAGTTCGATATTAGGTATTGTGATTTCTCCAACTTTGTTCTTCTTTCTCAAGATTGCTGAGGCTATCTGGGGTCTTTTTTGGTTTCATATAAGTTTTTGGAATATTTGCTCTAGATCTGTGAAATACGCCATTGGTATTTTAATAGGAATTGTGTTGAAGCTATAGACTGCTTTGGGTAGTATGGACATTTTAATTATGTTAATTCTTCCAATCCATGAACACAGTATGTACATGCTTCAGCTTACTTGTATCTTCCTCAATTTCTTTCTTTAGTGTCCTACAGTTTTTCAAGTACAAGGCTTTTACCTCCTTGGTTAAATTTATTCACAGGTAATTTTTTTTTGTTGCCACACTAAATGGGATTGATTTCTTAGTTTCTCTTCTGAAAGGTCATTATTAGTATATAAAAATACCATCAATTTCTGAATACTGACTTTGTATCTCATTACTGTGCTGAATTCATTTATTAGGGTCAAGTAGTTTTTTGGTGGAGCCTATAGGGCTTTCATTTTTTTCTCTTTATTTTGTTAGGATCTTTTGCTTTGTTTGTTGTTTTTTAATTTTTTCTAATTCAATTATTTTTTATATTTATTTTTTTATTATTGTTCAAGTATAGTTGTCTCCATCCCCCCCACCACTCTCTCCTAACCACCCACCCCCAGAAGGGGAAGAGTTATCAAGGAACATGGATAAAGGACCCACGGACAAAGGCAAAGGAGGCAGGACTGAGAGTGAGTACAGGGCTTTCTACGTACAATATCATGTCATCTGCAAATAATGATAGTTTTATTTCCTCCTTTCCAATTTAGATGTCTTTTATTTCTTCTTGTCCAATCTCTGTGGCTAGTACTTCCAGTATTATGTTGAATAAGAGTTGTAAACATGGACACCTCTGTCTTGTTCCTGGTAAGAAATCCTCGTTTCTGACATGTTCCCCAGAGATTTCTAATGGAAGCATGATTTGCAGATTAAAAGTTTTAATAAAGAATATAGTCACAGATAACTGAGTTAATTTATAATAATTAAATCAAACCCATGGAAACAGGTATAGTTTACCTATTTTCATCTATCTGAGAGTTTAGTTTATTCTTTAATTGCAGTGTGTGATTTAAAGTTTAGAAGGAGTCAAAAAGATAATGGAGGTAGACATATTCCATTTGAAACTTGAACATCTAGTTGCATTACATAATTAATTTTCCCTGTGAGCTAGGACTACAACTTAGAGTCCTCTCAAGAGAATTAAAAAAATTACCAAATGATAATCTTAAAATTATTTCAAAAGGCAATTTGTGAAGTCCTCAGTTAATTTACACTATACTGCTATTAAAAAATAAAATTTAAAAGTACCCCATGGCTATTTTCATACATATTCTTCCTTTGAATAACTGCTTTAAAAATAAAAATGTGAGTTTTAATGAAGAATATGTACTGTTTGTTTATATAAATGTAAAAGTAAATAATCACATGCCTTTTAGGATCTAAGACAAAAATGAACACAATTAAAAACAAGTACAAGAAGTATAAAGATTTGATGTTTCTCTACGTACCTTTAATGTGATACTATAGTGTCCAACAAATGTTGCATTTATCCATGACGTTGAATGGGGATCACCCAGGAATTCTATGTGATACTGTTCCACATTTCCATCCAGGTCATAGGTCACATAGTCCCCTTTAAAAGGATGAGGGCAAAGTATCCCTGGCCAACTTTCAAAGAAAATTATTTTTAATTATTTAGATGGTTTTAAAAAGGCAGACATCCATACATCTGTCCAATCATATATCAGATTTCTTCTTTGAATTTTAATAACTTATTTTAAAAACAAACATATTCATACTTGTATATTTTAAAAGTAGGATATTCATATGACACAAGTACCAGCAGTGTCCTTATATATGTAGAAATCTTTGAAATAGTCACACACTTAAGATATATTTAAGATATAAAGAAAAAGAATTATAGTACAAAAGAGTGATCTCCAGGGTTTGTAAAACAACATTTAGGTACTACTAATAGGAATAATAAGAGAAAAAAGATTCATCAGATTCATGGTAGAGTTAAATCAACTCTAGCAAATCAGAATAATTACTGAAATGCCAACCCTCTGACAGGCCTCTGATCGGGTAGGAGAGAGCTGGCATTTTCTGAGCCAGGGCTGCCGAAGGAGTACCGGTAGCTCAGGCTGCGGTAACACTGGGGACTGTAAGCAGAAGTAGTTCTGTATTGTGGTCCCTCAGCAGTTCAATATTGTCCCCGTTTCCCCTGTCTTCTCCGCAGTGGCAGGTGAACAAACTGCTAAAAATCCTCAATGCTAGATATAAAATTTATCCTTTACTAAAAATAAATCTTTAGGGGTGTGTTTTGTTATGACAAACATGACAAGGAACTCTAGAAGCTCCTTGATATGTTTTATTTTTTAATTTGGCAATCAAGTGTTAATTACTTTACCTATTTTTCTAGACTCTGGCCTACTCTTCAGCAGATAAAGCACGAAAAAATGTATTAAATATAGTCAGAAAGCTGTGACTAAATAATGTCCAGGGGAAGTCTGACTGGATTTTATAGGTCATGACCCAAAACATGCATGTCTATATACCCAAACATTCAAACATCTGTACAACTGTCAAGTTCTGTTTCAATTTGCCGCACTACAGAGTGAAAAGATAGCAAGTTTCAAATTGGAGACCCAGGCTCTAGCTCTGCTTTGTCAGATAAGAGGCCTCGAGTAGGTATCTCACACTGACTGTAACTCTAGTTCCTCACTGTGCTGTTACAAAGTTGAAACAAACATGTGCTTTACACATTTTAGTTTTTTGGCAAATTAAAATATTGTGAAATGTCATCATTATGTACTGAATTGTGTACTCCCTACTACAACCGAATTTATACTGTTGACGTCCTAACCCCCAACACCTCAGTTCAGTCTTTAAGCAAGTAACTAAGTTCAAAGGTGGGCCCTCATCCAGTGTGACTGGTCTCCGAATGAAAAGAGAAGATTAGGACACAGGCATGCACAGGGAAAAAACTATGTAAAGATACAAGGACAGGAACCCATCTACAATTCAAGGAAACAGCCTCAGAAGAAATTAAGCTTGCTGACACCTTCATCTTAGACTTTCAGCATCTCGAGAATTGTGAGAGAATACATTGATTATTTTTAAGCCACCAGTCTGTGATGCTTTGTTTTGGCAGCCCTAGCAGACCAATTCAACCATATATACAAGGTCTGTCTGGAAAAAGTCAAACCATTGTTAATATAATAATAAAACAGTTTGCATGACATTGATGAAACCTGGCAGCTAAGGAATGCACATGCGTGAACAACGATGACTTCTCTGTACTAGTCAGTGGGGGTGGTAGACACCTTCAGTGAGTATGTGTACCGTGTGGCCATCAATGTCTGAGCTAGTAGAGCAACCCATCTGCATCGAATTTTGTGTTAAGCTCGAACGTTCCTCTGCAGAAACTATCTGGATGTTTCAGAAGGCTGCGGCTATGGGCAACTGATGATTGGCAGCTTCATCATGACAATGCACAGGCTCATGCATCATGTCGCATGCAGAGATGTTTGGAGAAACATCAAATCACCCAGGTGACTCAGCCCCTCTACAGCTCAGATATGGCACCCTGTGACTTCTGTCTTTTCCAAAAAATAAAATGACCTTTGATAGGGAAGATTCCAGACTGTCAATGAGATTCAGGAAAATACAATGCTGCAGCTGATGGCGATTGGGAGAACTGTGTGAGGTCCCAAGATGCCTACTTTGAAGGGAACTGAGGCGTCATTGTTCTATGTACAATGTTTCTTGTATCTTGTATCTTCTTCAGTAAATGTCTGTATGTTTCATATTAAATGGCTACATATCTTCTGGACAGACCTCATATAGTTAAGATAATTGGTACAACTGAAAAGTAGAAGGAATGATACTAAAACCTCTTTTGCCTCACTTAGATAATAATTTATAAAGTAAATAAATTAAATAAGTTTAAAACATAAAGAAAGCATATAAATCATGCTGTAAGGAATCTGAAATCACAAAAATACAAAAATCCATGCATTTTTTGGATTTGAGAATGGTAGATTATTGATATTCTACTATCAATTGATAATCAAGTTACAAAGTCATAAATGTAGAAACACAACTAGCATCCCCAACTCTAAACGTTTTTACAGATCGTAAATTAATAACGATGTAAACTAATGAAAGAAGTTCATGCTTAGTATTACTAATGTAAAACACTTGATCCCAGGAAGCTGACGAGTCCCAGGTAGAGTTGCCAAGAGGGCACAGGTCACCAGGGATGGTGGAGTGTGAGAATGAACAGTTAGTTGTCCACTGCTCCCTGGACGCTCGCAGAGTCCCGTGAGTTAAGGGAAAGGGTGGTAGAAGGCTGCCTGGCAACCCTCCCTCAGGGAAAAAGAAGGAACAAATTGAGTCAGCCTACCTGGAACCCAAAGAACGTTAATGCTTTGGAAGCATTGGAAATGAAAATGAAAAGTCAAATGGAGATTCAGGACCTAATTGAAGAAGACTATCTGGTAATTATCAGGTTCACATAACATTATCTTATTGCTATGTAGAAGTTCTTATTGGGCTATGTTTAAGAGCCAAACTCTTTTAAAGCTAAGCTGGAAATCCACATTTCTGTAGGAATCCACTCAAAAGGAGAAGACTTCAATAGGTAGATAAACAACTAGGAGTAAGTGGCGGCTGCAATGGAGACCCGATGTTCAGCTTAATGAACACCAAAGAACAAGTGGGTCCTTCAGCCTAATTAACAGCTATTTTAAAAGAACTACACTGACTGTTATATTTGTTTCAACTTTTTGTAAAATATAAGGGGCTCATCTTTACTACTGTTGATTTACACCTCACAGCAATTTTAAAAAGAATTCTTGCCAAGCAATATCAGATTACACATAGCAACTACTCCACTCAGGATTTCTAACACTTAAGACATACAAGAAAAATATTTTGCAATTATGTGTAAGGTGAGCTGCTACTTTTCTGACAGAAATTCTGATATAATTGCCTTTTACATCTAACCTATTGGGCCCAATAGTATTCAATTTAAATTATTACTCTATCAAATATAGATAGAAAGGGATGACTCCTAAAAATAATTAGATGCCAATAAAAAAAAGCTTCTGTTCATTATTTAAAACATGGTACATATAGAAAATAATGCGTGCTAATATAAAGACGAGTCAAATGTCTAAATAACTCTGGCACTTTTGTATTTCTTCGGGTGCAAAGCAGTCACTTTGACTCCTAGTCTGTATGTCTCGGCTGAAGCAGAATGCACCCGACTGCAGGACAAGCTGAGCAGGGGCAACAGATGTAGAAACATACTACTTCCCTCCAGCTGCTACATCTTTCATCTTCTCTGACTTGCTGTTGATTGAAAATAGATGATGTCCATTTTTGCCCTCATTCTGACTTCAATTTCAGTTCCAAAACTGTCAATGATGATAGTGCATTCTGCATATCTACTTTCCAATTTTTCACTTTCACTTTGATGAGAAATTATGAAGTGTTGTCTGAGGGATTAAGGGTGAAGAGGTAGAGTGAGAGCAGGCAGCCCAACAGAAGTATATCAGAATCCAAGGCAAGGCAAGGGTATGATCAATGTTAGAATCTGTGTAATGGAAGGTAAAATGTACAAATACAAGGTCAAAAAGAATCTGCTTGGAGGAAAGGGGGACATTTTGGCAGAATAAGTAGTAACTTCAAGGGGAGTAAAAGTATATCATAAAGAAACTGCTGTCCTGTACATTTCTTATCCATTGGAAATGATCTTTAATATGATAGCTATTGCCCTCAATAGAAATTGAAACTTAAGCACGTATTTACTTATATCCAATGAGAAGAAGTAGATGAATTATTTTCAACTGTGGTTTGGGTGTTTAAGGGGAGAGTCAATTTTAATTGGGCCCCATTCCTGATCTGTGAAAAAATTGGATGAGTTGGAATCATCAATAACTGAACATCATCTGCCAAGAAATCTCTGGGCTGCGTCTAACTGCAGCAGCTGTCAGGGAGAGGAAATTTCCCATACACACACACACACACACACACACACACACACACACACACACAGTAATTAATCCATAGGCAAATTATGCAAATAAAAAATAAAATATTTTATAATACTGAAAGGATCTAGTAAAAATCTCAATTTATAAATTTATATGCTATATCTAAAAAGTATCACTGTATTGGTTTGCTAACTTAAAGGCATATTTTATTACTAAACTGTTTTACTGCATTACATTAGAATGCAAATATATTTCTATAAATTAATTTTCATATTCATGAGAAAGCTTTGTATGTCTGTGTAAATATGCCCAAAGTGGTTATACTAAATGGAACCTCGCTCTGTTTGACAATGTGTCTTGCTATACTAAATAAGATAGGTACTGTTATTTTTTACTTTTAACTTCTATACTCTTTTTAGCTAAATACAATGCTATTTTCAATTTTTAAAAATCAAGGCTGCTTAACATTATGGAGATAGTTTTTCTCTTCCGTGTACATGCAGATATCCTTATCTCCAAGAAGAGAGACTAGACAAAATCCAAAAGCAAGAGGCTGATATGTATTTTTATAAGTATGTAAGTATGTGCTATCTCACAATGTGGAGGTAAACATAACCATAATAATTTGATTTTCCATAGAGCTTGCCTGTTGGAAAGAAAGTGCTA